TTTAATTACAATATTATTTTGTTATCACTTTTATATTTTAATTATGGCTTTAATTATTATTTTATTATTATCTTAGTCTTATAAATATATTTATATTAAATATTATAAAAATTATAATTTATTTAAATCATTTTTATGAAAAATTATTACATTTTTAATATTTATTTATTAATATCGAAGAAAAGAACTGTCTTAAAGCACCTAGAAGTTATTTTCTGATATTCTTAAATAAATAAATATCCTGTTTTTTTAAATTATATATTAATTATTTTTTTAAAAAAAATGTTTTTTTAGTTATTTATTTATTAATATCAAAGAAAAGAGCTGTCTTAAAGCACCTAGAAGTCATTTTCTGATATTTCTAAATAAATAAATAATTTATACATATTAACATATTTTCTTTAAATTATTTGAAATAACATAATTATGAATTAAATATATTTTAAATTTTTAAATTTTTAATGATAGAGACAATTTATAATTAAAAAGTATCAATTTTGGGCGTTGTAGGGGTGCTAATCCTTCCCTAAACGTAGCCGACCACGAATCCCTTTTTATTATTAAAAAGAACGAATTTTTGGTTATAAACGTAGATCAGTTCATTTTTTTAATTGATGTTTTTTTAAAACTCTTTTTAAAAAAAATAATAATAATTTTTAGGTATTCGACCTACCTGACCCAAAAGGTCGATGGCGACTCTCAAATTATTTTCAAAACCATTTATTCACATCAATTTTCCCGCTAAATAAATATTTCGTACCCGGACGAAAACCGATTACGACAAGTCTAAATCCTTATCATTTAAACCCCCTATTTTCAATCGCACAGCATCCTTCAACCGAGACAACAGCACCTCTTTCGAATGTTAGAAACCATAAAAAATTCTACAGTTACGCTCCTTCCACAGCAAAGCAATACAGCAGCATAAAGTCCAACGCACTCCTCCCCGAACCTTACGACACATCCAACTAAGCTCCCGATCCCAAATCAGGACCGGTCGCACCACACCACAAACCTGCAAAATGTAATCCTACAACCGCCTAGCATAAACACACTCAAAAAACAAATGGGCACGAGGCTCAGTCTCAACCAAACACAAAATACAATGACTATTATTATATCATATCACATCATTATTTTCTTTTAATATATTATTTTTTGATAAAATTTGTAGTGTTTGAAATTAATATCGTAAAAACAATAATAATTCTCTTAAATTTTATAAGAGAAGTGACATATTTATCAATAAATTCATAATTAGATGTCCTTTAAGTGTAGTTGACCTAAAAATTTATTGTGTAAAACTTAAAGAGCCAATGTTTATCCGTGGAAGTGTGTCCAATAATTATATGGGTTGACAAACTAGCAAACTTTTGAGTAGAATAGTATAGTCATTGTTACTTTTAATTGTGAGAAATGAGTAACACAAAAATCAATATTTCATGAATATAATACAAAAAATACAAGTCAAATAATTAAAATTTACAATTAAAAATATATCCTAAACTAAAATTTAATCTTAAAAGATGTCAAAAGTTCTACTTTGTTATTAAACTAGGACACCACGTATGACTGAAAGTGGCATGCCTCACTGTGGTTTGTTTTGACACAGAAACCTCAGCACCTGTTTTTAGACTCTTCCTTTCAAAGTTGGAGATTGTTTCATGTGGTCCAATGAGTCAAGTTGGGCGTCTCTTTCGTACTTTTTCTTGTCTCTGTGAATGCCATCCTTAATTTGCCCAATTTCAGTCACGTGACATGCTCAGGCAGCAATTAAATTAAATTAAATTAAATTAAATTAAATTAAATTAAATTAAATGGTGTAGGAGTTTACAACTTCTCAGTGTATGAGAGGAACACTAACGTGGCAAAAAATACTTAGAAAATAATTATTAGTTTGGTGAGATGGAAGGTTAGATCTCTTAAATAATATTAAGAGTTTAAATTCTAATATTATAGATAGAAAAAAAAACCAGGGTAAATTATGTATTTAATACTTAAACTATCAGTTTTGGTTTGTTTTAGTACCTAGACTTTCATTTTTTTCAAAACCATGCCTAGCATTTAGTTTTTATTTCATTTTAGTACCCCATCGTTAAAAACTTAACGTGTTTAGTACATAAACTATCAGTTATGGACTATTTTAGTACCTGAACTTTCAATTTTTTAAAACTCAACGTTAAATTTTGAACGGGGTACTAAAATGAAACAAAAACTAGAGTTTTTAACGATGGAGTACTAAAATGAAACTAAAACTAAACTTTAGATATGATTTTGAAAAAAATTAAAAATTTTAGATGCTAAACCGAATAAAAAATGATAGCTTAAGTACCAAACACGTAATTTATCCAAAAATTAAGTTGAGAGTACTCTTTCATAATAAATCTCATAATAAATATCTGCAATATTTAGTCTAAATTAACCGGTTAATTAATCAAATACAATGACTACAAGAAGAAAAAAAACTTTTAAAAGAACACATTAAGTGACTTCAATGAATTAAGGAGTGTTGTTCTCTCTTGATGTCCTAAATTTAAATAGCTACGTCTGTAAGACGTGTGTTGTCAATAAAAAACTATAAACATATATTACCTTATAATCATCTTAGAATATATAAAAATAAACTTTTAAATGAAATAAAGTTACCAAATTTAGACTAATGTGGATAAAAAAGTTGAATGACTAAAATGGAAAAATTATCAAATTTAATAAATAAATATTAGTTTATCCCTCCAAAAATAAGTAACGTGTGCAACTAAGATACGATCAAAATCCAGTGGAAGAAATGGACAAAGGAGGGACCCAAACAAGACTTGGTCTATTAATGGCTGCTTAGTGCTATAATTATTAAATAAAAAGACCCGAGTAAAAGGAACAGCCCCACTGCCACTATCACTAGGGCGAGTTTTACGATCGAATTTATATTTTATTAATTGAGCTTATTATTTGTCATTAACACAAGCATATATATACATTTGACAAGCCTTGATAGGTTGAAAAGAAGAACATGAAGATTGAAGCACGAAGAGAAAGGCTTGGTGTTGTGGACCTCAGACCATCTCCCCAAAGATGCCAGATGGGTTAGGCAGCAAAACTTTTACGGTATCATAAACCTAGCAAATAATTCTTTTATTTTGATATACTTAAATTTAAACTATGAAGCTTCATGTTTTGTGTAACTTAACTAATTATTATTTTATTATTTATGATGATAATTTTATGTTTTAAAAGATTTTAAGTAATGAGTTCTTATATAAAAAATTGATTAGTCATTTTGATAACTTTATGTGACACATGGATCCTCTAAATTTGGCATAGTCGGGTTTATAGCATTATATATTAAGTGAACTATATTATATCTTTTAAAATATCATGTCAAATTTCTGTTATTGGGGTCACGAAAATTAGCAATCGAGTGATCAAAATATAATGAATCAATAACATGAGTGAAAAAAATAATAGTTTTTTAAAAATCGATAACCAAAATCATATAGATTGAAAACGTAAGGGACCACTAATTTTATTTATCCTTAGGGGGCGTTTGGTTCACGGAAAAAATCATTATCAAGAGGACTAATCTTTTCCGGAATTATATTCTCATGTTTGGTTCACGGAAAAGATTATTAGAGGGAATAACATTTTCTCAATAGTATCATTTTTTAGTTAAAACAATGAAAATATCATTACTTTAAATTCTAATGTATTAGATAATTCTCACCACTTTGGACAAGAATACCACTAGACTAAAGAATTCTTTTTATAGTGATCATTCTCAATTCTTATTTTTTTATATTTTACTCAAAATTGTAAACATAAATAATAATATACAAAAAGTTTAATATAGAAAATATTAATAAATTTAAGTATTTAAAATTGCCTTATATTTTTAATATTCAATATAATAATTATTTATAATTTTATGAGATAAAAAATAATATTATTATGAAAATATAATTATTTAAAATAATATATAACTTTAAGTTATTAAAAAAATATATCTCATATATTGAAAAATAATATCTTTGTCCATTCCAGGTCATAATATTTTTTTTATATTATATTATATTTTATATAATAAATATGATACTTATAAACATTATTTAAAATATAAGTTTAATATACTAATTATATAAATGTATTTTTCTCAAAAGTTAGATAATATTTATAAATTAATATTAAAACATTTATAAATTAATATTAAAATTTATATTTTTTAATATATATATATATATATATATATATATATATATATAAATATAATTTGATAAAATATACATTCAAATAATCTTATATTCTTCAAACCAAACACTATAATTTTACGTTCATGCTAAACAAATTAAGCAAGATAATACAATATTCTCATAATAATGTTATTGTTAAAGATAATCTTACAATATTAAGTTTTGTGACTAAAACGTCCCCTTAAAGTTTTGTTTCACTTAACATTATAAGCACGTAAAATCCGGCATTTTATAAATATTTATTGTTGGGAGAGACAATCGCAAATCTCGAACTTGAATTAAATAAATGTATCTTGTATAAATTTAATTTAGATCATATATCATATTCAAGTTTTTTTTTTTCATATTATGTTCCAAGTCATATTTTAATATCTTTCTCATGCTGTGTGATTACTCTAAAAACCTTTAAATAGAATTAAATAATTTATCCTATAGATACATTCATCATAATACCAATTTTACGTCCAATTTCGGGGTCAACCTTTTGTTTAAGTGGTTGAGCTTGGATCAAATGACAGTATAATAAAACTCCACTTAATTGGTTTTACATATCAACTGAATGCCTTCAAGATGCACAATAAGCAAAAATTGCATAACAGCTGCTTTCAAGCTGCTAGCAATATGAAACATTTTATGGTAACAAACGTGGAAAGTACAACCACCATAACCGAAGCTTAACCCGGACGCTTCATGCAGCCGATTTTAAATTATTATATACTGGAAATTCGAATCTCGACGTCTGTAACCCGAGCTTTTATTTTCGGGTTGAGACTTACTTTGCATCAAAAAGAGTACAACAAAACAAAGGGCATGTTGAAGTGTCAAAGCAGATCGATTGAACAGAGGCACTTTCTTCACAAGCAAACGTTAAAGTTACTTTGGTTTCTTTACAGATTGAAGCTTGGGAGAATTACTTGTTACCTTTTGAATGGCTTGTAGAGTACAACAGTTACGTATTTGGACTCAAACCTATGGGTCAAACCCAGGGCAACAACGGATTGCGATGCCCATCCTTTCTCGATGAAAAGGTGGTTAAGTACAACATGTTGAGGCTTCGAGGATGATGCTATGTCTTGGTTATTGGGACCTAGGACCGTTAGATGTAGTTGGGATGGAACTACAGCAGGCTCCTTTGCAAAATTTTCTTCCTTTGGAAATGCCTGACCATAACTGGAATTTGGAGATCCTGGAGCCTCAAACTCAGTTACACTATCCAGATTTTCGGGCACATAGTCCTGCAAGAAACAGTGAGAAGTAACTATGCAGATGAAGACGGAAAAAATGGTCACAACAAGCATCACTGAGATCTTAATTATAGCCAAAGGAAAAAAAGGGTAAATTCATAAAACCAACTAGTGAGAAGCTTTAAATGTGAAAGGACCAACGTGATACATATCTTCCATGTTCATCATTGTGTGCTTGATATAATATACCTTGAACACACTATAAAATACGCAACAGCATATGTCAAATTTGTAATTTCACAGTTTTGCATGTCAACCAATCATACTACACCAGCCCACGAAATCATCATTACATGAGGGAGAAAAATTAAAAGTTAAGAGATTCAAAAATTGAGCAGGACATTTAAGAAGATACATACATGAACATCAAGAAGATTACAAATGTGGCCCATTTCATCAGCTGAAAAGGGCAAATCAGGAGCATATCTCCATTCACCATCAACAATAAATTTGTAATGGTATATGCCAGATGGAAGGACCAAAAGAATTGAGTGGTCTTTACCAGATCTCTGCAGTGTCTTCCTGGAAGAAGACAATAATAGAATTCGTTATATGCCATCCATGCTTGGATTGCAGACAGAAAGAGGAACAGCAGGATTTTGTATGCATGAAAATGTGTGCCTGCAATACTAAGGAATTGAAGACCTACCTTAATTTCCAATTGTCCCAAGAACCTTCCACGGCCACATTACTACCACCATAATTCCATGTAATGATTACAGGGATACCTTTCTCAGATGGACTATCAGCAACACCAGGAGAATCATGTCGCCAAATTTGGCTGAAAAAGGAATGGCCATCCATACTTGGTAAGGGAGCCATAGGAACCTGAAAATACACCGAAAGCAATCAGACCATCTGTTGAAATGCCACTTCCAATATATACAAAACTATTCGCTTCATAGGTAAATCATATAAACACAGTTCTCCAATCTCTCCTCATTTCTTGGCAATCCCAATAATAGACCATAACCAAATAGGTGTCGAAATAATATCACTATGGCACTGAAACAATTTTGCTTTCTAAAACAAAGATAAAGTACTATCTGAGCAAAATTGTTGATTTGTTGATATCCAAAACCAAAGTAAAAAACCAATGAGATTGGGGATTCAAACAGTAAAGAAGATACCAATCCATGTGCTCAGAGTTTGTCATCAATCGTCAGCTCAAAAGATGATAGCAAAGATCAAACATCCAAGCATCCCCTCTTAACAAGTGAAAATACAGTAACTTTCTCGAACAATCTTTTAAAAGCAATGAATTGATCCAATCAAAATATGTTATACCATTGTATTTAAGAATCCAACAAAAGCATTGATTTTTAATCAATTATTTTGCATTTTCTAGTCATATTTCTTCGATCAATATCTCAAAAGAAAAAAACCCTGCACTGCTATTAAGAAGAAAAACTTGGTATAAACTTCCCCACTCATCAGTTTTAGCCAAATTTACCAAATGATTACCAAAATAAATACGCAAAAAATCATTATCTTCCACGTCTTATTGTTTGAAACAGTTCAAAACTTTTAAACAAAGATTCTTCTTCAGTTTTTTATTCAAATTTGCAATGAAACCACAGATTTGTTCCCCTGATCTTATGCATTATGAGGCAAAATCTAAGTTTCTATTATTTGAGTAACTTAGAATACTAAAAACACAACAAACTAGAGGACAGTGAAAAGATAACTGAAATGCTCACCTGAGGAGCGAACAAAAGAGGGGATTGGGACCGGCGCGGGCTCTGAGGAGGAGTATTAGCCATTGAATCAGATGACGGCACGCGAACGGCGGCTGCTGCAGAGGCGGCTCCAAGGATGATCGACTCGTCCCCGTTGAAGCTTCCAGAGAGATCCCCGTTGGCTCCGTCTTCTCTCCCGTTTGCATTTCCCATATCTTCAGTGCAGAGGGATCCACGGAGGAAAACAAAAAACAGCTGAAAAACGAATTGTTTTGGTAATTGAAATGAATAAATCAGTGTGATTGAAAGAAACTGAATTTGGATGTATTTACCGAGACTGACACTGAAAACTATATCAACTGCAAGTGCCGGCAAACGGTTGTATCTGCTCAGAGCTGCTTTCATTTTGCTCTTCTTTCGGGGACAAAATTATAGGGGAAACTTTAAAATTAAAACCGTTCCTAGCTTAATTTCCTGAGACCTTTTTTTTTTCTAAGACGTGAGATGACTGGGATGATGATCAAACGTGGCAGTGTGCGCCACGTGGATAATTAAATGAATCCCATTTGATTTAAATCCCACGAGTTTCGATTTACTACGATCGAGTTCCATGGTAGGCAATTAATAATTCATAGGTCTCCACGGAAGCTGCTCCCAATTTGATGTTGGGGCAGCCTACTTTCCTACCTCCCTTACCCTATTACATATGGGAATAAGAGCCAACTAATTTTTTCATCTTAGAAGAATGAGTTTTTCTATATAGAAAAATTATGAAAGTTTAGAAAAGAATTTTTAAAAGTGTTGTGAGGAAGTATAATTTAAAATTTAACTGTTTAATATTTTAAAAATATAGTTAAAAGGTGAAATTAAAAAGATAAAATATTTATTATAGATATTATGTTATAAATTAAAAATATATAAATTAAATTATATTTACACCTATTAATACTATAATATATAAAATATATTAATTTAAATTATAATAAAAAATATAAAAATATTTTAAAATAGCTCATTAATAATATTTTTATAAATGAAACATTTTATTAAGAAAAAATATATTATCAATAATTTTAATACGTAGGTATAAAATTATTATGAAATAATAATTTAAATAATAATTTTGACAAAAAGGATATTAAAAAAAGACATAAGTATTTATAAATTAAAGTAAATTTATTAAATTAAAAGTATTTTTATATCTTATTAATTCTATTTCATAACGAGATGAAGTGTTTAATTTTTCAATTCAACCACATTCACTCATTTAAAATTTAAAGTAACACAATTTAAATAATATGTGTTGACACTCGATTTCGTTCAGGTTACTTTTGATTATTATTTTATTATTGATATATTATTATTATTATTGTACAGGTAACATAATTTAAATAATATGCCAGAACACGCCACCGCCGCCGATGAAGCTATTTCCGTCGTCGATCATTGTGTCATTGTCATCCCTGCAACCAAATCACCCCAAATAAAAAAAAAATCAATTCAAATATAAAAAATATATAACAACTCCCCAATCCAATCTCGAACCAATCCCGAGAAATCCCGAATTTCCCAGAGCCATAGCCTTCATTGAACCATTGCCCCTCTGCGCTTATCATCATAGCCTCACCAAACGAGCAACCACCATCATTTTATAACAGCCATCAACCATAATGAAAAGATGACCGAGAGAAGACAGAGAACGATTCGAACGAGAAAAAAAGGAAACCCGAAAAATCTTACCTCTCTTCGTCGAGTGAAGCATCGTCGGTCTAGAAATCCCGAAAACCTTCGACTATTGAAGGCGAGAAGCTTTGTTTTGGTCTTCGGTCGGAGTCTGTAAAAAGGGGAAGTGTTTTATTTTATTTGTCTTCTTTTCTCAAGGTAGAGAGAAATTAGAAAATGGAGGGAGTTTAGCGAGAAAGCGGCTGAGATGTAAAAAAAGGGGTAGGATTTTCTAAAAAACTATAATGGGATATATATATATATATATATATATATATATATATATATATATATATATATATAAGTCTCCCAAGACGACGTAGTTTTAGGTTTGGGAGCCATGACAAACCTTTTTAGGCTAACCATGTGAAAAGGACCTCTATTTCTATAAAGTTCTCACTTTAGTCACTAAATGAAACTTGAATGTTTCTAATTGTCAGTTTTGAATTTTATTTCGCTTATATTTTGGTTACCATGTGATTATTGATTGTTTTAGTTATATTTCTTTTGTTAGTAGTTGATTTGTGATTTATTTGGTTTTGGTCCTTCGTGGTTATTCTATGTTAGAAAATGCCCAATCCAAGCTTTAGGGTCTGTAATCTTGCTACATATTCACTTTGGTCACCGTTTTTGGTCTAATGCTTGACTTTTTTGGGGACTTATTACATGATTAGTCCTTGTTCGACCAACTGAGTTCTAATTTAATTCTTAGTATAAGTTTTTTGTCTTATATATTAAGTCCCTATATTATTACATGATTTTTTGTTTGTTTATTTATATTTTTACCCTGTTTATATATACGTGTATGTATAGTATATTATATAAAAATATATTTGTATTCCTCCATTACTTTACGTAGGTATAGTATATGTATTCATTATTCATTTGCTAAACATGTGTAACATTTATATTAAAGTTTTCATTGTAATGCTGTCAACACACCTTTTCGTTAGAGTACAACACTCTCAATAATCCCGATTTAATGAGATTTAGAAAACAAACATAACGTTAGAGTTTTACTAGGATTCAAACTCCTAAAAATAGGATAGAGTTTTACTATGATTCAAACTCCTAAAAATATGATAGAGTTTTACTATGATTCAAACTCCTAAAAATAGAATTCATAAGTATTATAAATAGTCATTGTAACTCACTATTGTAACACACAATTTATAGACGAAATACGAACAGAAAATTTGGAACAATCAAAGCATTTTTTTTTGCAAAGTTCCGAAGGCAACAAAGGTAAAAAAACCTTACATTTTTAGGTTGTTAGGCTTGCATGTGTCGTTTGTTTCTTGCTTTTGATTTGTAAAACCACAAAAACTCAAAAGGCCGATGACCGGAGGTTTTTTTTTCTCGAAACTAACTTTTTAAATCTACGGAACCCCGAGGCTATTTTGTGAAAATCGTTCGGACATTTGAAAAGAGGAAGTGAAGAGCTTTAAAAAATTCAATTTTTTTATATTTTATTTTTTTCTTACTATTATTATTATATATACTTCATTATTATTATTATTATTATTATTATATTTTATATTTTTATTTTGTTTTATCTTTTTTTTAAATTTATTATTATTTTTTAAAACATTTTATGTATATGCATATTCATTATATTTTTTTATTTTATTTTATTCCATTTCCCTATCATTATTATATTTTTTTTTCTCTCTATTATTTATCTATACGTATGATTATTATTATATATATATACATTTTTTTCATATATTTTTTATTTTTTGCAAATATTATATTTATTATTACATATATACATATATTTTATTTATTATTCTTATACCCTTCTATTTTTATTTTCTTTTATTACTCTTTACTTACTGCTTCTATTATTATTAGTATTATTATTCTATTTTACCTTTTTTTTCTCTATTTCATTTTCATTTTTATTCATTTTCTTTATTTTTTTTATCTTCTTTACATTTGTTTTATTTATTTGTATTTTCTTCTTATTTTTTTATTTACTCGTTTATTTTGTATATATTATTATCATTATTATTCTTTTTTCTTCATTTTATTTTTCTTATCATATTCATTTTTATCTCCACTCTTTTTTTATTCCTTTATTTCGGTCATTTTTTATTTTCTTTATTCTATTTATTTTCATTTTTTTATCTAACACGTTTCTTAACTCTCTTAAGGGCACACCTTTAAAATTATCTAAGGTAAGTAATTGGGATCGTATTTTTACCTTTTAATTTTAAACTACAATTTTCTTATTTTAAGACAATTGGAAATTGCGTAGTACCGAAAGGACAATTCAAGGGTGTTAACCATTCCTTGACTGTAACCGACTCCCGAATCCGACACATCTTTGGAAAGACGCAGATCAGGTAAGAAATAGGGTATCTGATCAACCCATTTTTTTAAAAAAATAAATGATCGGTGGCGACTCCAATTCGTTTAATACAAGTCGAAGCCCGATTCTGGGGCCCAACCGAAAGACGGTTCCGACAAATGCATTATACCATATGTATGTATTTATTTTAATTTGTGACTTCTATATGTTCATGTATATATTTTATTATTTTTCAAAACTAATATTTTTGGATAAGATCAAGAGTTCTTTTATTTACTAATATTTTTAATGTCTTTTACTCATATTAATTTTCAAGAACATCGATCGTAAAATGGGCACGAAAAGCATAACTTGATAGAAGTAGTGTGGTTTGACGACATTCAAACGAAAAGTGAAATTCTAATAAATTAAAAAAATTAATAATAAAAGGATCATATTTTAATTTTTGAATTGAATTCATGGTTTTTTTGTCACGACAATGTATAAATGATTAGGTACTAGTGGGGTACTTACCCTTTTCTACGGGTAACCGACTCCCAAACCCTTTAAATTGAATATTTGGTAACCGCAGACCAATTTTGTATTAAATGATTTCTCTTAAAATTGTTTTAAAAGACGTTTTTAGGTATTCGACATACCTAACCCAAAGGTCGATGAAAACTCAAATCAAATTAAATTAATCCAAAGTTAAATTTATTCAAAAATCTCAATTTTCCAAAAGTTCATAATTATTTTAAAATTTGATTTTTTAAAAAAAATTATGGCAACTTGGTGGATTTAATGGGGAATTTTTTAGAGAATCGGGTCGTTAATCGCTTATACTTTGTCCTGGTAATGGAAATTATAAGTCCGAGTCTATAATTAGCTTATGATCCTTTTTATTCAATATTGATTAATTTATTTCAATTTATTTATGGACAATTGTACTAATTTATGAATTTTCTATTTTCTGCTTTGTCAAAGTTTTTTCACATGGGCCTATTTTATTTTGGTGTCTTGTTTGATTGAAGGTTTGTATGTTCTTCCTCACACACATCATGTGCACTAGCATGACATAGGCTCTATACATGAGCTCATTCCTAATTAACTAGGGGTGAATGTTATGCTTTCATGGTGAATTTATGCCCCGTATGAGATATAGCAATTGACCTCTGGGATACACGCCTTATACATCCGTGGGAATTTATTTCCTCGTATGGGTATAGGAAATAGATATCCTCGAATTGAACTCTGTCCGTTTGAAGCTTGTAATGGGTGATGATTGAGGGTTTGGCAACCCAAAGGGGCACCAACATCAACGACAATTTGAGTACCCTTTCCCATAGAGCCGAAACTATACATATAGTGAACCATAGATTGGTCACCC